TTTTATCTACCAATACATAACCAACAAACTACTGTCATTTCGCCCTGCTCAACTTGTTACTTATTTATCCTCTTTTTCTTAAATATGTTTACCTATAACAAAAACCCCTTTCTATACAAAGTTCAATCAAAGGGCTCCCATTATCATTTACACCTGGCACCCCAAACTTACCTACCCCCAACCCTCTCTAAAAGTTTCTCCTACTTTAGCATTCAGGTCCCCTACCACAATTACTCTCTCACTTGGTTCAAAGGCTCCTATACATTCACTTAATATCTCCCAAAAATCTCTCTCTCTCCTCTGCATTCCTCTCTTCTCCAGGTGCATACACGCTTATTGTGACCCACTTCTCGCATCCAACCTTTACTTTAATCCACTAATTCTTGAATTTACCACTTTTCATATTCTCGTTTTCTCCTTCCATAACTGATCATTAAACCCATTACTGCTACCCCTTCCTTTGCTCTAACTCTCTCAGATACTCCAGATTTAATCCCATTGTTTTCCCCCCCACCGAAACTCCCCTACCCCCTTCAGCTTTGTTTCGCTTAGGGCTAGGACATCCAACTTCTTTTCATTCATAACATCACAATCATCTGTTTCTTGTCATCCGCACTACATCCACCGCACATTTAAGCATCCCAGTTTTATAAAGTTTTTCTTCTTCTCTTTTTTTAAAATGTCTACAGGAGAAGGGGTTACTAGCCCTTTTGCCCCCGGGCATTTTATCGCTCATACGACACTCATGGCTTACGGAGGAAAGTTCTTATGTTCTTAATTAACATCACACTTACCAGTAGGGTGATTGAGGCTAGGACCTTGGGTAGTTTTAAGAAGAGATTGGACAATATATGAGTGGGAGGAGCCGAGTTTGATTTGTGTCATTGGGTATGGAGTAAATTCTTGGGTAGCTTGGGTAGATGTCATTTTAATAAGGACCTGCCTTGTATGGGCCAGTAGACCCGCAGTGTTCTTCCATTGTTATTTCTTTGTGGAAAAGGGTTGGGAAAGGACCTGCCTAGTAATGCGCCAACAGGCTTACTGCAGTGTTCCTCCTTTCTTATGTTCTTATTGGAGACTTGTTTGTGCGAGGGAGGGGTGGCGAGTTTATTGTTGGAGAATATGACACTATTTCAACTCTACGGCTTATTTATCTATCACAATTCAACTAATATGACATAATAAACAATATTAAAACATAGAAACATGGAATATACCCTAGAAAGAATAAAATAAGTCATTACGTATGTCACGAGAGGTGTTGTGTTGTGTTGTTGGGTATATAAGGGCCACTGAGAGTAAGGGCCCTCCATAAATGGTGGTGAAGCAGCAGCTGAGGCGGTGGTGTTTTCTGTAGCCCTATATAACTCCAACAACATTGGGGGAGTTAGTAGAATCGCTGAATCACTAAAGAAGGAACCCTCTACCACCATCACTACGACCTACCACTATTACAACTGTTACCACCATCACTGCTACCTTCTACCACCATCACTACCACCATCAACCACTATTACAACTGCTTCCCACTCTACCCACCACCACCTTTGTATTTTTCTACAAACTTTTTCATAAATTATATGTGTTTCTCTCACATTCTTTACCAAAGGGCTGGCACTAGAAGCTTTCTTTGGAGCCATGTTAGCTTATTTAGCACTTGCAAGCACTAAAATCAATGGAATATTATGAAATATTTCGTAGGAGCATGTGAGGGGACCGTTGCTCACTGGTAAACAATGGCACACTGGCTGGGAAGGCAGGCCCAGGCGGCTCAGAACGTGAGTACGCATCCCGGATGAAGGACAGTTAGTGAGTTAATGGACCATTTGCGAGCCAATGTTTAGACGAAATAACGGGACTATTTCCGAAATGGATGACTGTCAGGCCGGACGATTATTGAGGGACCACTGTATATACGTCAAACACGGTACCTTGTAAGACGTATATATATGACCGAAACAGTCAAAGGGTTAAATTGATGTTGGTGGTTTGTGGTTCAGGAAACACTGACAACAGACAGACCTGGATGTTGCCACTTTGGCCCATGTTGGACAAGTGTTAGAGTCATTGGACTTGGCCTGATACTTCAGAAGACAACTGGACAATACCTCTACAAACAAAATTCAGAATTACAGGCTTTTTTCCAATTTATCGGATACTTTCAACATTAGCTCAGCATATTATTTTTGTCCAAAATTGCTAGGTGTGTGTCACTGAGAGATTTTATTGTTCTTTATATTAGATACTCGTAATTTTTCACCCTAAATAGTTGAAAATACAGTACAGTAATAGTTGATATTTGTCAGACTTGGGTAAGATGACCCGAGAAAAAGGCAAACATTATCACTGTCATTCAGTCAAGCACTGTCTTGCCAGAAGCATACTGACATCACCGTTTAGATGACCCTTCAACCTCCATCATCCTCACCATCCTTGAGAGTCCAGGTACTGTGCTTCCCACCATCCAGACTTAAGGTGCTTCCCACCTTAAGTCTGGTTAACCAGTTTCTCAGAAGCCTTTTGTAATTGTGTAATTTATTTGCTCTATTCCAGCGTACAGTGAGTGACTTTGCTGCACGCTGTCAGGGAATTCTTCAAGAGGCTATGAAATGGGCTCCTGAGGCTACCAGATCACATCTTCAAAATTACCAGACACACCTTGATCAAACTAATCTGTCCATCCCACTCGGGGTTGACATTAGCTACAGAGCCCTGTCTTGCAGTATGCGGTCTGGGAAATTCTGCTTAGGTAGCTATGTAACCCAATCAAAAAATTGCAGTTTTTTTTTTTTTTTTAAATAAATTTGGATTTTTTTCACTCAGAAAATTGCTTTGAAAAAAAAATTCGCAATTGATTTGATGATCACAAACCCAGGCCATTAACAGGATCAAGGACGGAGGGGAAAAGAGAGGAAAAGGTAAGGCCAGGAGGGGAGACTGTCACTTTCGCACTTTTTAGTTGATTCAAAGTTTATTTATTACGAAGCATCATTTTGTTATTAGATAGCTTGCATTGGAAGTAAATGAATACAAGCGAAACTTATTTCTAGGAAAGGATATTTGGCATTTGCAGAGCATCTTAATGAGATAATTTTTCAAACTGCTTATCCTCCAAACGGGATGACTTAATTTCGAGGAGTTTGGGTTCATCACAGTAAAGTTCTTGCCCACGAATACCACTCCTCTCCTCCAACCCATGGACCAGCAGTTTTGAAACTTTAAAAAAAACTACACAAAAGCAATGTTTCACAGGTGTTTGACGTGACCACAGACACTCACTTGACCCTAAGGGAATTTGGAGAGAAAACTTCGCATCCTCCACTGCATAACCCTTATAGGTATGGCTTGGGAGGGAGTGACAAACCAGGACTTTGAACTCTGCCTGGAGAAAATTTTTGGCCAATTGTGTCGACAAGAGGGATTTTGAAGGATTTGGGACTGACCCTAATGGGGCCTATGTCTGTTGTAAATCAATTGTGGCACTGGGGAGTTCCTGGGTTGGATGTGAGTTTGGAGGATGTGGAAGAATTGGTGGAAGCCCACAATGAAGAGCTCACCACTGAGGAGCTGCAAGAGCTTCAGCAGGAAGAGCAACACATCGCAGCTCAGAATCTTGCTGCAGAGGAGGAGGAAGAGAGATGGAAGAAGGTACCTTCTTCAGAAATTAAAGTGATTTTACTATGTGGGAAAAAATGGAAAGCTTTATGGAGAAAAAATCACCCAAAACCAAGGTTGTTGCAAGCCAGGTTGGCAACATGTACAGTGGCAAAGTTTTGGGGCCTTTTTAGGGAAGTGTTAAAGAGACGCCAGAAACAGAGCTCCCCTCCACATTTTATTTTTGTGAGACAGGACTCCAGTGACTCTCAAGGTGGTCCTAGTGGCATTAAGAAACAGAGAAGAGAAGCAACCCCAGAAAAGCAAATGGTACCTGAAAATGGCTTGAAATTGACTCAAAGTAGCGAAATGTTAAATTATTGCCAATGTTTAAGAGTAAACAAACGTCCTCTCACGTCTAATACGAGCCAGCTGGGGTCTAATGTGCGTTCACAAATGTGGTGATATTATTTATACAATTATTACAATATTGCATAACAGTAAATCCCCCTATTTTTTTGGTTTGAATAAAAATTCATTATTTGAATTAAAAATCGAAATGGAATTAATTTGTTAAGCCTGAAAACATCACTAATGAACAGAGGAAATGTTAATTTAGTGCCAGAAATACCTGCATTGTTTATTCTGGACCCTATTTGAAATTGGAATATTTTGAACTTTGCATAAAATTAGCCAAGTTACCAATTTCCGATCACTTTATTTTGTAGTTGAAACAGTTGACTTGGCGATTTCTTGTCTCAGTCCATAGAATAGAAGTAAAACTAGTGAAATAGCTAAGAATTTGGTCAACTGGCTTAATGAAATTTGGGCCTAAAATGGAGTCAAATTCGGCAAAATCGCCGATGTGTAAATTGCTGACACACAAAATTCGCAAGAGCATTATTTCGTCAGTTTTCCTTCAAATTTCGTACGTTTTGTTTTATTAAACCTTTATATAAAGATTCTCTACCTATTTCATAAGAAAAAAGTAACAAAATTATTTTTTGAAAATTCTTGGACCCTGATGCACACTTCGAAATTTGGCCTCTGGACCCTAAAAGGGGTTAAAAATTGTTTATTATGTCATATTAGGTGAATTGTGCTAAAATAAATAACTGTAACCCATATTAGTGTCATATTGAAGGACTATCTTTTCTTGTCTTCCCGAAAACAATTTCTAACATACGCCAGAAACAGACCTCCGGGAACACTTATTTGAGCAACAGGGGTCCAGTGACTCTCAAGCTGGTCCTAGTGGCTTTAAAAAAAACAAAGGGGGAAGTAACCCAGGATAATGACTGGGTACCTGCAGTCTTTATGAAGGGATTCCCCTTCCAAAACAATTGTAAACTCTTCCATCCTCTCCCCTCCTCCAGTGTTCCATACATCACCATGTCTTCAATACAAGTGTGATATATTGTTTTATTCTTCATGTATCATTGTTTTCTGTGTAGGTAAATGTATATTTCAGTAGAAAACATTTTTTTTAATACATTGAGTGTCTGAAATGGATTAATTGGATTTCCCTTATTTCTTATGGGAAAATTAATTCAGAATAATGAGTTTCGGGATAAGTCGCTCTCTCTGGAATGGATTAATTACGTAATCCAGGGTCCACTGTACGGGCAACATCTGCCACATTGCCCCCCTATCCACTCTATCATATCCCTTTTTTCTAAATCAATAAATGCAATGAAAACTTCTCTACCTTTAATCTAAATACTGTTCACATATATGTACTTAAAATGTAAACACTTGATATACACATCCCCTACCCAAAACTGAAGCCTCCTTGCTCATCTGCAATCCTACTCTCTGTCTTACCTCTGATTCTCTCAATAATAACTCCTACTGTACACTTTTCCTGTATACTACTTAATAAGCTTATTCCCCATATAATATTTACAATCTCTTTTCATCCCCCTTCCCTTTATATAAAAGAACAATACATGCTTTCCGTCAATCCCTAGGTACGTTACCCTCTTAGATCATACATTTTTTTAAAAACAAAAATACCAACCACTCCAACACTATATCCCCCCTGCTTTTAACATTTCTGTCATCCCATTAGTTCCAGCCGCTTTACCCCCTTTCATTCTACATAGTGCCTCATGCACCTCTCCCACACTCACATCCTGCCTCTTCTTTCACTCCTGAAAAGATGTTATACATCCCTGACCAGTGCATGAAATTTCCAACTCCCTTACTTCATCAATATTTAAAAGTTCCTCAAATATTCCTGCCATCTATCCAATACCTCCATCTCCCCATCTACTAACTCCCCTACTCTGTTTTTAACTGACAAATCCATTCATTCCCTTTGGGTTTCTTAACTTGTTTATCTCACTCCTTTTTTCTTTTTTTTTTATTTTCATGAAAATTTCTTGACAGTGCCTCTCCCACTCTATCATCTGCTCTCCTTTTGCATTCTCTCACCACTTTCTTCACCTTTCTTTTGGGTCTTCTTATAATACTTCTGCTTTGTAAAAACCTTTCATAAGCTACCTTTTCTCTTTATCACACCCTTTACTTCATCATTCCACCAGTCACTCCTGTTTCCTCCTGCACCCACCGTCCTATAGCCACGAACTTCGCCCCACATTCTAATAAAAGTGGTCCCTCGTTTTTTGTAATTAATTCGTTCCTGGAGCCATTACTATAAAACGAAATTATGATTTACGAATCAATTTTTCCCCATAAGAAATAATGTAAATACAATTAATCCATTCCTGACACCCAAAGTATTAAAACAAAAAAATTTTAACATGAAATATACTTTAGTACATAAACAATACAATGGGAAATGATGAATGAAACATTAACAGCATAATACTTAGCTTTAAATTTGGGGATTCTTCTTAGTGTATGGGAGACTGGAGGAGGAGAAGAGTGGATTGTTTATAGTTTGGAAGGGAAAACCCTTCCATCAGCACCTCAGGTACCAATTGCTTTTCTGGGGTTGCTTCTCTTCTCTGTTTCTAATGCCACTAGGACCACCTTAGAGTCACTGGGGTCCTGTCTCACAAAATAACTGTGGAGAGAGCTCTGTTTCTGGCGTCTCTTTAAACACTTCCCTAAAATGGCCCAAGACTTTTTTCACTGTACATGTTGCCAAACCCGGCTTGCAACAACCTTGTTAGGGTGATGTTTCTCCATAAAGCTTTTCCCTTTTACCCCCCCATAGTAAAAATCTCTTTAATTTCTGAAGAAGGCACCTTCTTCCCATCTCTCTTCCTCCTCCTCTGCAGCAAGATTCTAGCTGCGATGTGTTGCCTTCCTGCTGAAGCTCTTGCACTCCTCAGTGGTGAGCTCTTCATTGTGGGCTTCCACCAATTCTTCCACATCCTCCAAACTCACATCCAACCCCATGGAACTCCCAGTGCCACAATTGATTTTACAACAGACATAGGCTCATTAGGGTCAGTCCCAAATCCTTCAAAATCCCTCTTGTC